AATAAATCCATTGGTATCCTTGTTGGTCTTCAGACAACAATTCTGACGGCTAAAGAACCAAATGGGACAGACAAAAAAAAAATGCTGCATAGATGGAAACAGGCAGAACAGGTGAAATTATTGATGGGAGATTTATAGGAAAGTGAACTGTCTAGGATGACACCAAGGCTCTTAACCTGAGGAGAAGGGAAAACTGTGGAGTTATCGATGGTGTGAGAAATGGTTCGCCTTCAAAAGGTGAACCATTTCTCACACTGCTTAGTTATGTTCACTCCTTCAGCTGCACACTTAAAAGTCAAACATGAACACACATCACACTGTCAGGAGGCACTAATGCGCGATGACCGTAACTTACCAGCCACTGTTGGCCAGAGAGATGGAGATGGAGCTTAGAAGCAGGTTGCATTTCGACTCACTGATGACGGCCTCACAGTTGGTTCCAGGGCTGACGACCACAAACTCTCGTATGCCAAACCTACCAACACATACAGCATCACAGCAGACATTCATCCACATATACACTGGAAGAAACATCTGCTTCATTCTGTATGCTGTCAGATCCCTTGGTAACAATGAAGACCATCACTAATCAAATTATTTTACTATTTCACTCTGAAGAAAAGTAAAATATTCAGAAATTGTCAGAATTACTGGTTTGTAGACGCAGCTTTGATTCTCTGCTTATATTTACGAAGTCTTTCTGGCAACTCAAAGCCAGGAAGACTTTCTAGACTTGCACTCTTAAATGCAAGACACACTTAAACTATATATTCATGTTGCACTTCATGCTATGCACTGTATCTAGCTCACATATCCATTTAACCTAACATGCACATCTTTGCACTGTGGAGGAAACCTGTGCAGGCACAGTTACAGGATGCATCTCCACACAGACTTGATCCGGGACCTTCTTGCTGTGAGGCGTGCAGATAAATGACTGAAGCAGTTTTTTAGCATAAGAAAGTAAAGACTAAACTTACCATCTGACCAGGCAGTGGGCTCGTGGAGGGAAATCATTGTTCATACAGAGAAGATCCTGCATTGCCAACGGTATAGCATCTGCCAATAGAAGAACAATGTTTTTGACACAGTTCATTTGAAACACCATCTGAGGTGCATGTGATTATTTAGTGTCTATCAAAATAACTGTACTGGTTTGACTTCTCACAGATGCTCATTTCTGCTGTGGCCACAAGGTGGCAGTAATTTACTGTCCTGT